GGCTATACCTGCCTCTGGGCTTGGTATGAGCGGTGGTGATCGTGTGAAGTGAGTCGCTCCTCAGTGTGTCCTCAGCAGCGTTTGGTGGCGGAGCACTAACTTAAGCAGGCACAGGGTTATAGAGTGAAATGTTCATGTCCTGGAATGTTATGTTTGCCCGACAGTTGTTTGCTCATCTGTGGGAAATGGGAGAATTCTGCCTGGCCCTTAGTAAGGAGGTTATGATGAGCAGCCTGGGGGCCATTGCTTCCATGTTTCAGAACCAGGGTGTCTGACTTCCCACATCCCCCATGTTGCTGCCCAACGACTTTTGATCCCATTCATTAGCTTCTGATCCTTTGCTGCCTCACACTTAGGGCCTGGGTTTGAGGAACTCTTTGTCGCTTGGCGGCAGCAGCTCTGAGGAGATCTAGCATGTAGGTGGCTGCCTGGGGGTGTTTCCGTGTCTGACATCCAGTGTCATCCTGAATAGCAGCCCCGGTTAGTGCTGTTTGTTTCTCTTTAGAAAGCTGTTGTGTTTCATTTTGAACTCTGAGCTTAAGGACTTAATTTTTTTTAGAGATACAGATGTTGCTTTTTCTTTTTGTTCTTTAAATCCTGACTAAAGTGATATTTCTTTTAACTGCCTTTTCTTATGTAGTCATTATTTGCAGTGGCTTCTTCAAACCGCACTGTGTTACTTAAAATTCTTACTGCCCAGATGTAGAAATAGTTTAAAAATGTGAGGACTGTGAAATAGACATTGTTGCTTTCAGCAGAGAAAGCGTTCCTGGCGGTGAAGCTGGTGTGAGCCTGCTGGGTCCTGCAGCGGCATCCCTGCCCTGTGATCGCAGCTGGCAGACCCCACAGAGGTGCTGCTCCTTAAGGCACCGTGTGAAGTGATAGCAGTCAGTTTGGATTTTGCTACCTCTGTCTTCCCATTTAAATATAAAGCCAGAGTTTTGGAAAAGTTTATATTTATCCCTTGTAATCATTTCTCTTTCTGATGTGCTATAGTGTGTGCTTACATGTGCTTACAGCTTTATTGGGATTTAATTCACCCCTTTAAAGGGTAAAATTCAGTGGTCTGTATTCACAGAGTTGTGCAGCCATGACCACTGTCTAATCCCAGAACATTTCCATCACCCGCAGAAGAAGCCTGTGCCTGTAAAGCAGTCACTTGCTCTGACCCCCAAGGCCCTGACAACCACTAATCTAGTTTGTGGATTTGCCTGTTCTGGGCAGTTCCTGTAATGGCATTGGCGAGTATGTGGCTTTTTGTGCTTGGTTTCTTTCGCTTTGTAGCATAATGTCCTCAGGAGTCATTCATGTGTGGCCCGTGTCTGTGCCTCGTTCCTTTCTGGGTTGTCGCAGCATGTGGATAGACCCCATTTTGTTTCTCCATTCATCTGCTGATGGACATTTGGATTGTTTCATATGCTTATTTGTAGTTTTTTCCTTCATGGTTAATAGGCTCTTAATCTCGTCTACCTAACTTGTTGCCCTTGGAGCATTGCCAACACGTGGCTGTCCTGGGGACCTCGTTCTTGTGGTCATAGTCCACCCCGCTGGTGCTGGGCGCTGCGGGGAGTGCTGGGTAGCCTTGTCTGTTGCCTTTCTCAGCAACTGCAGCCGAGGTGACAGGCGACCCTTGGTGCTTAGGGCTGTGCTGTGGGGTGGGCTCAGTGGTCGGGAGCTGGGGCTGGGAGCCTTGGCTCAAGCTGTCTTGGGCAGTGTTGCTGTGAGCACCTCCTCCCACAGTTCCAAGTCCATCTGGGAGGGACCATCACTGAACTGCTTCGGGAGGTTGTTTTTTCCAATGGGTGCCGAAATATTTTTTAAAGTGCTTTGTGCAAGAGTGTGGTGGTGGTGGTCTTTCTCTGGGGACGTGTGCCGTGGCGCAGCCTGGGGGCTGTGGTGGTTTCTGCCATGTGTGCTGCAGGGAAATACTGTAGGGACTCCGGGTACATGCAGGCACTGTGCAGGCCTGCTCACAGTCTCTTCTCTTCCCCGAGGCATGCAACAGCATGCTCTGTTTCATTGCTTTTCATAAGTTGTCGAAAATCATTGTGGTTCAAAGGAACAGTCTGTACTGCGGTTATCATGTGAGGCATAAACAGCTTCTTCTGGCCTCGTCTTTAACCTTAAACTCTGCCTGTTGTCTCTAAAAGTAGTCAGCGTTCCACAGGGAGGGACTTGGTTATGTGCTTGTGAGTGCGTGTGCGCGCGAGTAGATGTGTGTGTGTGCGTGCAGTGTGCGGGGGTGTAGCCGTGTCTGTGTTGTGTGTTTAGGAGTCAGGCTACTGTGACAGAAAAGCCCGTTTTTGGGAGACCACCTTCCTTTGTAGAAATAAATCCCAGGCTGACTTGGACCCCACGGGTGTTGGTTTCATAAGGAATGTTAAGCTAAGACCTCCTGTCTCCAAATTAAACAGGAAGGGCAGGGGTGGTCATCCACTTAGAAATGTGAACTTTTGTCTAAATGTTCTGAAACTATGTAAACACAAAGCGTTTAGGACTCAAACTTATTTTTGGATCCAGTGCCAAAATTGTGCTCCAAGAAAAAGGATTTCTGTCTGACCAAGTGTGGTGTGTGTACTCGATTACAGACTGACTCCACTTAGATTGCAGCTGGGATCAGCGGTGCTAAGTGCCTTTTGCCAGTGTCTGAGCTCTTTTAAGTTAAAATGCTGATAGTCTCTGGTTTGCTAGTGGTGGTTTTAAGCTGTCGTTCAACCCTGGATGGTGGGTTTTCTTATGTAATGTCTTCCTCTAAGATGTGGTTGTGGTGTACCTATGTTGGTTTTAATCTATGTCTGATCTTTTTTGGTGATTCTGACCTCCAAGACTGTGGTTTTCTTTTTAAGTGTGTGTGCACATCCCACCTTGAACCCCATGTTGTGCACTGGGCAGAAAATGTTTCAGTTCCACCAGAGGGAAAACAGGTCCCAGGACATCTGTGTGTAGGGAACTCAGTCAGCTTTGGGGTGCCAGCAGAGTGTCACCTGTTTATGGGCTTTCAGCCCCTTAGGGTCAGTTTCACGGGCCGTTGGTCCAGATGCTGAGCACTAGTAACGTCCAGGCTGTTCCTCCAGTGTGCTCCCCTTTTGAAGGGGACTTGTTGTGTATGTGGGTTCATCAGTTTATGAAAGCAGAAGATGACGATTATTATTTTGGTGGGTCAGTGAGCTAAAGCTAGACCAAAAATCTCTCTAAGAGAGCTTTTCTGTCAAGCCAAAAATCCCTTTGATGAGATGGAGGAACTAATCTCCCCCACTCCTGCCGCAAGGGAATGAACTGACCAGCTGTGTGGTGGTGGCCAGAATCCTCCCTGCTCTCGGGGTTTCCTGTTGGAGTAGAGATCAGGCTATACCTGCCTCTGGGCTTGGTATGAGTGGTGGTGATCGT